ATTGGAGAGACTCTTTCTCAGCGGAGTAGTAGTGGATGGAAGTAGGAGTTGAGTTGAGCACATTTAAATATTGTAGTCGGTCTCAAACAACTCTAGAGGAATTTATGCAACTAAATTAAGTACCAAAATTAGAGAAGTAATAGTAGAGTGTTTTTTAACTAAACCACTGGTTATACCGTATGGGGCAAAGGCTGGCGTACGCCCGGACGTACCCTAGCCTACCGTACGCCTGTTGAGTTTTTCTATTTAGACAATGAATTAACCGGAGTTGGGGGCATGATACTATACCCTAACCCCTAATGGGTGAACCATTAGTGGTTAGGGTATAGTATCATGCCCAAAACTCCGGTTAATTCATGATCTAAATAGCAAAACTCAAAAGGGCGTACGGTAGTCTAACGTACGCCCGGGCGTACGCTAGCCTAAACCATATATATATTGTTAATTGCCATTAAAGTGGCTCTTACCTCGCTTATTAAACTATGATTAAGTCTCGTCATTCTAAAATCTAGTCAAAATAACCTTAGTACCCCACTCATAATAGTAAAAAATGTAAAATACTGACTATCATGTACAATAATCTCATAAAATTAAACTCATAATAAAATGGCATCGGGATGGGATTAGGTGCTAACCCTTATAGGGGGTTAGCACCGTGATAACGAGCAAAAAATGCTACTAAAAATAACGAAATCACTACATATTATTATAAAATCAATACAACATCTAAGCTAAATCACTACTAACCCTTGGTTAGGACGGTGCTAACTCTTGTACAATTAGCACCGTAACCAGTCCCCAAAATGATACTCATTAATGGCATACATGAGCTCTTCATTTCTTCCCATTGAATCTCAATAGCATTGAAAGACCAAACCTTTCAATCTTGGAATTAACATGAATCTTACAAATTGGACCCGAAAATATTTACATTGAGATTTCAAACAATAAGATCTCTCGAAGCTTGATTTCACTGTCATGTCTGATAAATGAATTGGTGGATTTCTAGAATTTTAGAAACAACTTGATTTTAGGAGCACTAGACTATTTTAAAAGGAATTTGCAGTTTAGTTTCAAGTCTGCATAACTCAAGGATACAAAAATATTTGTTTAGTGCCATTGGTTATGATTCTTGTTTTATATGAAGTAAATAAATAATTGTGAAGACAAAAATACCCTTCCTACTTTCACTCTTGTAGCAGGAAATTTGAAATGGAGCAAACCAAACCCTTTAAAATGTATTATTAGAAGTGTAGAGATAAAATATTACATTACTCCAATAACCAAATGTGTAGAGAAAGTTGATTTTTTCTTATGTAAATTAGATATAATTAATATTTTATAATTTGCATCTCAAATTCTAATAGACATTACACAACATAGAAATCAATAATAGTACCAAAATATTATTTATCAGTCACTTTACAAGTCGATGGTCAATGTACAGGCGTTTAAGAAATATGATAATTATTCGTTAACATAAATAACATGTGTGTCATTCGAGTGACCCTCAACCAGTGGCCACCCATTCAATAAATGCGGGTAGAAGATTTATCGATCTACCATTCACCCACATTATCAACCCATCTATTACGGTTTGGTTTATTTGCAGGTCAGTCCATGTTAAACCAGTTTCAAAGACTATTTGGAAAAGGAAAACTCAGAAATCAACTGTGGATTGGGCCTTTTTTGGGCCTCTTTTCCGTGTCCACGAGGAAAAGGAAAACAAACCAACTACATCCCCGACCCAGAGAGCGGATCTGGTGACTAAGGGGGTCCTTAGTCACTTGACTAAGCCCCTCCTAGCCATTAGATCTGGACACTTCAATCCAATGGTTAAAAAGTGGGAAGGGCTATTTAATTAATGACAGGGGTAGTTTGGGTATTATGGAAAATTACGAAGTATACAAACCGGATTTACAATCAGTACAAACCATACAAACATACGAACAGTACAAACTAGAGCGACAAAACATACAAACAGATTTACAAACATTACAAACGTATGAACTGTACAAACAATACAAACTAGACCGACAAACAATACAAACCATACAAAAAGAAAAAACAACCGGGTTGACTTTCAAGGCTCCATCCCTATATAGAGGGGCTCCTTCCCAAAGTCAACCCGGGTGTTTTTCAGACATACAAACAGTACGAACATGGTGGACAAAAATGACAAACTAGACCGACAATCCATACGAACGGGAAAAAACACCCGGGTTGACTTTGGAGGCTCCATCCCTATATAGAGGGGCTCCTTCCCAAAGTCAACCCGGGTGTTTTTTAGACATAAAAAACATTACGAACATGGTGCACAAAAATGACGAAGTTTACAAACATGGTGCACAAAAATAACAAAGTTTACAAACATTACAAAAAAAACCGACAAACATTACAAAATAACAAAGCATACAAACATTACAAAATATGTCAACAAACATCACAAAATTAGCACGGTCGTCGGGGAAAAAATTCCGACCAGAAAATCTCTCTCTCTCTAATAATGGAATGGGCGCACAGTGTTAGAGAGTGGTATAAGATCCACGATTGAACCTCTCCCAATAACTCGAGTTGTTGGGAGAGGTTCAATCGTGGATCTTATATCACTCTCTAACACGCCCCCTGACTCGCTGTTACTGTCACTCTAGAAAATGGCCAAGTGCAACCACTTCCTAAAGCGTAGTATAGCGGGTTTGGGTTTTATTATCAACCCGGGTCCTAGATGTGATGACTACTCGGTGAATTCTTGTTATTTAGCGGTGAACTTTTAGTGCAACTCAAGCAAACAAAACACAAAGCAAGTAAACGGTTTGTTGTCAAGTCAAGAGAGGTCACCCAGATATGGATCCCCCTAGACTGCAGTTAAGTCGGATTGTAATTACCAAGTTCAGTTTTCATGAAAGTTATACTGCGGAAGGTTCTCAATTAGCCTGAAGTCTCGACTAAAGGTCTCCAGACCCTCTCAATCTGAGTCTCTAGCGGGCGACTAACCTCCACCGGAGTAAACAGATTGAGGCCCTAATGAACCAAACCTCCACTACCGAATTAACTTCGGTACAGAATAGCGAATTGGCTCCTCGACTAAAGTCACCAATTCGCCACCTTCGATTAAGGGTACTCTATCAACCTAGGCAGATATTCTCATTCCAGGTCAAAGCAGAAACAACAGGAATTTGATCAGGATTCAAGTCATTCAAACCTCAATCGAATATAATCAATTCACAAACTCTGTACTTGGGTTCATACAATCAGACCTAGCATACAAATCTAGGGTTCCCCATACCCAGATGAATGGGGAAACTACTCCATAGAGAAAGAAGCAAAAGCAGATTCAGACGCGGAAATCATACTGTGAAGTTGGATTCCTGCTCCTGGACGTTTAATCGCACTTCTCCAAGCTCAAGACGGGCTCCAATGGTGTTGAAGATCGATCTATGGCGCTTGGGAACTCTGGTTCGTCGCTTTCTCTCTCTAGGAATCGATTTCTCTCTCAAAAACTCGGAACACCTTGAAAATTGGCCTTCTTCCTCTTTTATCAGCTGACCCCGCGATACCCGGTCGAAATACCCGGTCGGGTATTTTATGGTTCGACCGAGTATTATTGAAACGCGCCGTTCCACTAAAGGGGGAAATCCCCGGTCCAACACCAAAATCCCCGACCGGGGATTTAACGCCATCGCCCGGGCCCCCTTCTGTTTCTCACGGGTGCCCGAAGGGAAAAATACCCGGTCGGGTCCAGAGTATACCCGGCCGGGTATTTCTTCCTGAGACCGGGTATTTTGGTCCAGCAGCATCCTTTATCCCATCTTCGCTCCTTTCGACCCGGAACTCGTTCCTCCGCCTCGATTCCAACGCCAGGACCTGAAATATGACATAAACACACAACCTAGCGTGAAATCGGCTTAAAACACGAGATTCCTCATCACAAACGGCTTCAAAATAGGGGTGTAAACATGTATAATTATCGATCTATCACCCCCTCAAACGAAAGCCAACTCATGGGCTTGAAGTTTGCACAGGCCCACCATACCATGTGCTTGAAAGATAACGGTTAATATTGGGGGTCGTGGAGATTCGAACACATGACCTTTCGGTTCTAGGCTCTGATACCATGTCAAGAACCAGTTGCTCCCAATAACTCGAGTTGTTGGGAGAGGTTCAATCGTGGGAGGGGGCGTGTTAATGTTGTGGTATATGATCCACGATTGAACCTCTCCCAACAACTCGAGTTATTGGGAGCAACTGGTTCTTGACATGGTATCAGAGCCTAGAACCGAAAGGTCATGTGTTCGAATCTCCACGACCCCCAATATTAACCGTTGTCTTTCAAGCACATGGTATGGTGGGCCTGTGCAAACTTCAAGCCCATGGGTTGGCTTTCGTTTGAGGGGGCGTGTTAGAGAGTGGTATAAGATCCAGCAAAACCTTCTCCCAACAACTCGAGTTATTGGGAGCAACTGGTTCTTGACAGGAACTCTCTTGGGGAAATAATGGCGCCCAGTTGCCCATTCCCTGGCCGCGCAATTATCGGACCGGAGGCGGGAGGCGACGGGGACGGACGGCCGACACTGTTTTTTATATTTCTTTTATAATTAAAAATTAAAAATAAACATGCAATTACTACATTGCCTCTTCATTAAATTGGATTAATAGGAGTCCTTGGATTTTAATGAGGTGCAAGGGTGGAGATTCACTTAGCCATGTGACTAAGGGGACCCCCCTTAGTCACCAGATCTTAGCCCCCGACCCAAGCTTAAGGGTCCAGATACTATAACAACACCCCTTGTGTTGTTATAGTAACATCAGGGGTAAAAGGGTCCATAAACAAATATCTAACAAATTAAAAAACAAATTCAATATTGAGCGACATCATCTCTCCATCTGCATATCTCTTCCCTCTCGGCAGCTTCTCCTCCATCGCCGGGAACGCGGCGAACAGCAGCCGGTTAGCCTGGTCGACCCTCCCCGTGTCCTTCTCGTGATCCCCAGCAACGGCGATGAAGGCGCTGCTAACGTTGGAGGCCTCTCGCTGCGCGAACCCGAAGAACGAGAGCGGCGGCGGGAGGAAAGAGAACGACGACGCGCGGCGGCTAGGAAGAACGAGAACGGCCGCAATCGCCGACTATGGCTCCGACGGCCACACATTCTATGTCCTCCACAACTGCCTCTCCACCTTCCGGATCTGGATTTCAGATTTGATAGTCAAGGAATTGAAGAGGAGCATCAACGGATTGTATGGCTTTCTCATTTACTTCTTTCTCTTTTTGTGAGTTATAGCCGCCTGAAATTGGAGTTCTGGAGGCATTCAGGTGGGATTGTTGTCATCTCCTGGACTCATCTTCTCGAGTTGCCTATCGCTCTCTTCTCATCTTCTTCCTCTCCTGTCTTTTGGATCCAATTTCTTTTTTCCCAAATATTTTACCTTGCATGCGGATATGTAATATCCTCCCTCCAGCCTCCGTCGCATCTCCGCTCGCCGCCTCCATCTCACAACAGCTTTGCCATTAATTATTTATCTCCTCAATCTCTCAGGTGAGTGATGACCCCTGTTTTCGAGTACGCTAAAAACAGAGCAGCAGCAGAAAAATAGAGTAAATCGACGTCGACGGAGTAAGCAGCGTCTATCTGACAGTTTCGGTGAGAAACATTCAGCGGCTGAGGTGGGTAGAGAGGGATGGTTTGTGGGTACTTAGCGAAATTTCCAAGTCTCGGAGGGTTGGAGTGAAGCAGATTTTGGTGGCCATGGATGCCACTCCCCTGAAGATGAAGCGGTTGAGTACGAAAAGAGAGTTAAAAGTGAGCACATTTTTTGAAGCACATTTTCTCTGAATATATACAGGTCATCCAAGGTTGGGACCTCTTGTTTTTTCTGTCATCAAACTTGTGTATTAAGCCTGCCTCTGGTAGTTAATTAAGAGAGAACTATGTAATTATGTATACAAACCTGGTAAGTATACACATCAATAATTATTGTTACTAATTCCATTCACCTAGTACGAACGTCGGATAGAATAACAAACCTCACAAAGCATACCACAATTATCTCGAAAGCATACTAGAAACCTCCTAATGCATACTATAAATTGTCTAAAACATACCAGAAACACGGTAAAACAAACCATAAATATTTTGAAAAGCACACCAGAAACCCCCTAATACAAACCACAAACACGATAAAACAAACCAAAAACGTCCTAATGTACACCACAAATATATCAAAACAAACCAGAAACCTCGCAAACCAAACCACAAAAGTTTCGAAAGCACACCAGAAACTTCGTAATGCAAACCAGAAACCTCCTAATGCATACCACAAATCTCCTAAAACAAACCACAAACCTCACAAAGCAAACCACAACATTTGCGAAAGCACACCAAAAACCTCCTAATGCAAACCACAAACATAGTAAATCAAACCACAAAAAAGCAAACCATAAACGTCCTAATGCAAACCACAAATATATTAAAACAAACCAGAAACCTCACAATGCAAACCACAAAGTTTTTGAAAACAAACCAGAAACTTCTCAATGCAAACCACAAACACAATAAAACAAACCATAAAAGGCATAAAAAAATATGAGAAACCAAACCATAAATCTCACAATGCAGACCATAACATCCGGTGGTCGTTGACCGGTCAACGAAGACCGTTGACCGAACTCCGGTGACCGTCAGTGAGCAGATTCCGACGCCGATAGGCATATTCCGGCCCCGGTGACTAGATTCCGACGCCGGTAAGCATATTCCGACGCCGGTAAGCATATTCCGACTCCGGTAAGCATATTCCGGCCACAAAATAGCATATTCCGGGGACAAAAAAGCATATTCCGGTGACCGGCGACCATTTTCCGGCGACCGGTGGCAGAATTCCGACGACCAAATTTTTGGGCAGAAAATAATTTTTTTTTTATTTAAATAGATTTTTCATAATGACAATTATACCCCTGCTTTGATTTTACACTAGATCAACTCATTTAATAAAAAGTCATCACAATCCTAGCTTCCTATTGGTTGGGGACTAGTGTTGTTACAATAACTAACACAATAGGTGTTGTTACAATAACCGGTCCCTAAGCGTAACTCCGCGCTCTGTTCTTACTTCTTACCTTCTCCCTCCCGTCGTTCTCCTCGAATTCCTTGTCCACCCAGCCGCTTCGACCAAACCCTAATCCACCGAGCGATTCGACCAATATCCAATCGACCGGAGCAATTGGCGGCCGCTCTCCAGGTCGCCGGCATTGTCACTCCTCAGCAATCGGCGGCTGCTCTCCCAGTTCTCCCTCCCGGTCGCCAGCCGAGGGCGACGGTCGTCTGTCCGCTCCAGCTCACTCGAGCAGTCAAGCTCGACGAAAAATCCACCCAACGCGAGGCCAGCTCTGCCTCTCTTTGCCTCCCTGTCTCGCCCTCCCTTTGCTGAATTTGGTTCTTGGTATGTAGATAGATATATGTGACGACTGACGATTCATTTGTTTGTTGATTAATCTCTAATTCGCATTATACTTCTGAAAGTTATTCCTAATACTCTAGAGTTAATTGAGAACTTGGTCTGATTGCATACTCCAGAGCAGGCACTTACAACTACATGATCTCGAATCCTTTTCTTTCTGTGATCTCCGCGGCTGTTGTCATGACTTGATGAACTTATTTTCTAACGTTTTGTTGTTGGCTGTATAGCTAGTGTGGTCATATATACGTACCCTAGGTAGCTAGCAAGCACGTTTTGGTGCTTATAAACAGACACATATCCTCAGTTTAGAATGCTGGCTGCAGACTTTACCCCATAACAGAGGGCCACTTTTAGTCTCCATGTTTAGATGCTAGGAATTATTCATTCACTTTGGATTGTTTGTGTAGGGCAGCGATTTTCCTCACCGGTTTTTGCCGCCGCCGCCAATGGAGCTGAAGGAATTCTCTTTTCCGGCGGTTTCCGTCCCCTTGGCAGTGATTGCAGCTGCTAGGGTTTCAGGTTTCAGTCTCCCAGCCGAGTCTGGGAAACCTGCTTCCACGCCGACCTTTGTCTTCTCCAATGGGTAATGCTCCTTCTCTTCTCTCTTCTGTTTGTTTTTTTCCCAGAATTACTCACTTTTCATCTGGTTGCTTTGCTTGTTCTAGGCTGGAATTGCACGGCACGAATGTACTCATTCGGTATATCGGCCGAGTCGCCAGCTGCATGCCGAATTTCTACGGCCAGGGCCCTTATGAATCCAGCAAGGTGAGTTTTTTCTCCCTGAAAGATCTGAGTTTTTTTTTCTCTCTATTTTGCGTTTTCTTTCAGCTCACCTGAATTGCTCTCCTGTTGCTTCTTTTTCTCCATGAACTCACAGGTCGATGAGTGGCTGGAATATGCCCCTGTACTGTCATCAGGATCTGAGTTCGAGAACGCATGCAAGTTTGTGGACTCTTATCTGTCGAAGAGAACCGTTTTGGTAGGAGAGTTTTTTACCATTGCTGACATGGTAGTCTGGTCAGGCTTAGCAGGTAACCTCCAATGAATTCTGGTCTAGTTGTGTCTGTCCATCTTCTCGATTGTGCATTAGTTTGGGTCTTGCAAGTATCTTGAAAAATCGAACTTTTTCTCAAGATTGATTTGGGAAAAACAAGCCTAGTTATTGCATTTGAGAACTAGATGTTAGGTTTGGTTTGGATGAGTGCATGCTGCAATTGTAAGTTGCTTTCTTGTCTAAGTCTAGATTGGCATCATTGTACTGCTTAGGTGTTTCTATGTGGTTCTTAGTTAATGGATATGAGAACTAGATGTAAGATTCAGTCTGGATGAGTGCATGCTGCAATGGGAGGTTGCTTTCTTGTTACTGGATTGACATTCCTATGGTTGCTTTATATCAATTCCCCGAGTTCGCTGCTTAGATGTTACTGTATGGTTCTTAGTTATTGGATATGAGAACTAAAAGTCAGGTTTGCTTTAGATGAGTGCATGCTGCAATGGGAGGTTAATTTTCTTGTTTAGATCGGGATTAGCATCATTGTGCTGCCTAGGCGTTTCTATGTGGTTCCTTGTTATGGTTGATTCAGTCACTACATTTTTTTTACATGCAGCTACTGGGCAGAGGTGGGAAAGTTTAAGAAAGTCAAAAAAATATCAAAATCTAGTCCGCTGGTTCAACTCTATATCTGCAGAGTATGGAGTTTTGGATGAAGTAACTTCAGCATATGTAGGGAAAAAAGGCTCAGGAAAGCCTGTGGCTGTAAAACCAAAGGACCAACAGGCTGCTGTTAATGGGGGAGACATCACGGAAAAGGGAAAAGGAAGCAGCAGCAGGCCTTCAGCTGAAGTCGACCTTCCGGAGGCTGAAATTGGAAAGGTGAAATTGCGGTTTGCACCAGAACCCAGTGGCTTTCTTCATATTGGGCACTCTAAAGCGGCTCTCTTGAACCAGTATTTTGCCCAAAGGTACAATGGTGTTCTCATCATTCGTTTTGATGACACCAATCCTTCCAAAGAAAGCAGTGAGTTTGTGGACAATCTCTTGAAAGATATACAGACTCTTGGTATCAAATATGAGAAGGTCACACATACTTCGGACTACTTTCCTGTGCTGATGGAGATGGCCGAGAAGTTGATCAGAGAAGGGAAAGCTTATGTTGATGACACACCACGTGAACAAATGCAAAAGGAAAGGGGGGAAGGCATTGAATCAAAATGCCGGAGCCATAGCGTGGAAGAGAATATGAAACTGTGGAAGGAAATGATCGAGGCATCCGAACGTGGACAGCAGTGCTGCCTCCGTGGGAAATTGGACATGCAAGATCCGAACAAATCTCTGCGTGATCCAGTGTACTATCGATGCAATCCTGTTCCTCACCATAGAATTGGGTCCCGATACAAGCTGTATCCAACATATGATTTCGCTTGTCCGTTTGTTGATGCCGAAGAAGGTATTACTCATGCACTCAGATCAAGCGAGTACCATGACAGAAACAGCCAGTACCACAGGATTCAACAGGATATGGGGCTAAGGAAGGTTCACATTTTTGAGTTCAGCCGGTTGAACATGGTGTATACATTGTTGAGCAAACGTAATCTTCGTTGGTTTGTTGAGAATGGAAAAGTTGATGGTTGGGATGATCCCAGGTTTCCGACTGTTCAAGGTATTGTTCGCAGGGGACTCAAAATTGAGGCATTAGTGCAATTTATTCTCGAACAGGTAAAACCTGGTTAACTTACTGTCATACGTAGTTTGCTACTGCTGCTCTTCAAAGTTCTTACTTTTATCTGTTTTCGACTGTGGAGCTTCATTTTCTAGTCTGTGGGATATCCATTCTAATCTGTTTGATCACATTCTAGGGGGCTTCCAAAAACCTTAATCTAATGGAGTGGGACAAGCTTTGGACGATTAACAAAAAGATAGTGGATCCAGTGTGTCCTAGGCACACTGCTGTTATTGAAGACAAGTGTGTGTTGCTGACCCTGCGTGATGGTCCTGATGCAGCATTTGTTCGCATCATAGCTAGGCACAAGAAATATGAGGGTGCCGGAGAAAAGGCCACAACATACACAAAGAGCATATGGATTGACCAAGCTGATGCTCAGTCCATCTCAGCAAATGAAGAAGTAACCTTGATGGACTGGGGGAATGCCATTGTGCAGGAAATTGTGAAGGATGGAGATGGAACGGTGAAAGAGTTGTTTGGTGTTTTACATTTGGAAGGCTCGGTAAAGACCACTAAGTTGAAGCTAACCTGGCTGCCTAAGATAAATGAGTTGGTTAAGGTGTCGATGGTGGAGTACGATCATCTGATCACTAAGAAGAAGGTAATATCTTCTTTCTTCTTTGTTTTTGGAAAGAATATCTTATTAACCTGCTACGTAGAAGATTCCATATTAGCTGTCTGGTTCTATACTTGATGACGGCAAGTAAGAGAGAGCTGTTTGCTTTGTATCTGTTTTGGGTGCAGCTGGAGGAAGATGAGAGCTTCATGGATGTCCTCAACCCATGTACGAAGAAGGAGACTGCTGCTCTCGGGGACTCGAACATACGAAATTTGAAGCACGGGGAAATACTGCAGCTGGAGAGGAAGGGGTACTACATCTGCGATGCTCCTTTCGTCAGACCATCAAAACCCGTAGTTCTCATTGGAATCCCGGATGGCCGCGGTCGCTAAGCCAAGCACACTGGCATAGCAGACCTAAGCGGTACTCTTTCCATTTCATTACAGCTATGTCCTGCTGAAGCCCTCATGCGATAGTATTCTTCGTAGCTCTCAGGTTTTGTATCTTTGAGGTTGGAAAGGTAATTTATAAAGTAGAAGAAAAGAAATTGAGAGATGTTTCGTTGGCGATGATGACTGATGATAGAACAATGAGCAACAAAAGAACAAAAGTTTCGTTGGTAATCACTGTAGTTGTCACTGGTCGCTGCATTTCTCCATTGCTATGAGACCATCTCCATCCCATTGCTTATACCTATTGCTTATTTAGTGGGATCCTAGGTGGCACCACTTTTAAGCAATTGCAAGGATGTGGGGTTCTTTCTTATTTAGCAAAATTGCTAAATAAGAAATTCATCTTGCAATGCCATCTAGGATATCTTTTATTTTTCAGTTACTTTTTCTTTCTTTGTTATGTGGTAAGAAATTGTATGGGTCCACTATTGGCAATTGCTTATTGGTTTTAGGGGTAGTTATCATAAATGGTCACAAACCTATTCACTTTGTACAAAACGGTCACAATTCTTTTGCACGTTTCGGTAATAAAGGTTTGAGCGAATAACAAAATAGTAAATCCGTCCAATTCCGTTCCAAATTCCGTCCTAGATCGCCCCGTCAGCATTACACGTTAGTGCAAATATTAATATACAAATAGTTAATCAACCCACTTAACCCAGCAATCCAACCGGCTGGAACAAACCCTTTACCCATAACGAAATAGCGAGGAGAGGAGGAGACTAGCCAATTCCCTACACGGAATCTCTTACCATTCCAGCTCAGTCGCCCCCCGTCATTCTCCGATTCTCCAGACCAGCGAGGGAACTCAGAGAGTTAGGGTTAGGGTTTTTTTCCAGGGTGTTGGTAGTCGGTGCTTGGATTAAATCAATGAGAAGCAAGCTCAGTGACGAGCTGCTCACCACCGTCTGAGCAATAGCCGGCTTTGAGTTCTCCGACATGGATATAATCAGAGCTCTGCACCTCGCCAACCACGACCCTACAGCCGCTATAAACATTATCTTTGATATGCCCAACTTCAATTACAAACCCAAGTTCCAATCTCCGAGAACTTCCATTTCCAGCCCTAGTCTCGGGTCTAAACCTACATCTGCCAAACATAGGAGAGAGGAGAAGGAGAACAGGGGGAGTCGTGATTTGGTCGGCGATGTGGATGTCAGTCCGAGAGGGAGTGACTCGGGGGAGGGAGATGATGAGAGAGTGAGGTTGTCCGGTTCGAGTTCCGTTTCAGGGACAACCAACACCAGTACAGGTACGACGTGACGCTGACGCGGTTCAACACGGCGTGGGATCGGTTGGGGGCGATTCATCTTCCGTCGCCGAATAGTCTCGCATTTCAACATAAAACACCATATCTCCCGCATTTCAGCCGGCGAACGAATCGGTTGGAGGAGCGCCAACGACGAGGATGGCGGACGAATCGGTTGGAGGAGGTCTGGTAGCTGACGGTAGGAGACTCGCTAGTCTCCTCTCCTCGCGATTTCGTTCTATCTTTTCTCCGGCAATGCTCGATTTGGGGGGTAATAGTCCAATTCGGGACCGGATGGGTAAAGGGTTTGTTCTGGCCGGTTGGATTGTCGGGTTAAGTGGGTTGATTAATATTTTTTAATTAATATTTGCATTGACGTGTAATGCTGACGGGGCGATCTAGGACGGAATTTGGGACGAAATTGGACGGATTTACTATTTTGTTATTCACTCAAACCTTTATTACTGAAACGTGCAAAATTAAAGAATTGTGACCGTTTTGTACAAAGTGAATAGGTTTGTGACCAATTATGATAACTACCCTTGGTTTTAGGGATGTAGGAGTTTGGAAATTATTGAATGAGATTTTTGGTTGATTGGTGATGTGGCGATACGGGCCCACTTTAAAAATTGATTATTGATTGCAGGGATGGAGATGGTATGATATTCAGCGCTCTGAGTGATTTTTGTTCACTAAAAGTGCCAGAAACAGCCTTTTTCTTTCCAGTGATTTTGTTCACTAAGGTAAATTCTTTTTGCGGAAATAGATAGAGATGCAAAGGCAAATATTTATCCTTTCTTATTGCTGCCGGAACACTAGGAGGTCCATCTCGCAACAGAGGTTTATATAAACTCGGTCAACAACGCATGGGTAGAAAAGAGAGGCGCCTGTTGACTTTTAGGGGGTGTGCAATGATTAGGTTCGTATTGGATCATACCATACCAGATCTGATGTTTGAATCGGGATCGGATCAAAATGGATCGAATTGACGTTTGTACCATAACAAATAGAAGTAAATACAATAAGGGTTTGGCTTTTAATTCTAAAATGAATTTCATTATTGGACTGCGATTTTATGAATTATTTAAAGAAAATAAGATGGAGATGAGAGACTAAAGTGGATATTGACTGGCTGGGGGCTGCATAAGACTTCAATTCCGTGATGGATTTGACTTTTGAGGAGCTTCAAGGAGGGAAACGCCATTTGCAATTTCGAAGAGATGGAGTTGTTTAGAATTAGATGCAATCATTTTTATTCTTTGGTATTTTGAGTCAAAATGTTGTAAATATTATATTTGTATGTGGCATTTCATGTATTATTTCAATGTGAAATGTCGTAATTGGTCTAATTGTTTTGTTTGTATACAAACATTCACGTATTATAGTCTTTCACCATTTAGTGAGTAAATTGAAATGTCTAGACTAGGAGGAGGTATTTAATTAACTCATTATGCATCATTTTAATTGCTTAGTTTGCCAAACTCGGTCCAAATAGGAATCATAGTAAGGTAGGAGAATGGCCGAAGAGAATTATGGATCGCAAATATACCGCGGAGGGTTCAGATACGGAGTTAACACAGATAGTTCATTATCCATCCACAACCCATCCTCGAGTTCTGTCGTTTCGGGTTTTACCCGACACCCGCAGGAATCTGATTAAAATATGTTTTTCTCGCTTTGAACGGTTCGAGTTCGAGGAAATACCCAACCACGAGACATTTTTGCCACCTCTAACATGTATGATAGCAATCGAACTCAACTCAACCCAATCCAACCCAACCCAACTCAAACCGTAACCCGGTTCTGGAAACCGCGAAATTCAAACCAAATCAAACCACATTTCAACCTTTTCTTGTGCTCAGTGGCAACGAATATCCCTTCCACTAGCGCGGCCAGGGCCAGGCTTCGTTAGGTAGCCATGGCGGACTGAATGTGACTTTGATTCTCTCTCCCAAGTCCCATCCTTGTCTCTTTCCGTTTCTTTTTCTTTGTAAACATCTCTTCCGCCGGAGGAACAAACAAACGAACAAAAAAAAAACGCCTTTCCACTCGGCGCCGCCAATGGCGTCTCTCTCCAGCCTATGCTCCTCCTCGCCATCTCTCAAGCCCACCAAGCCGGCCGCTTCTCTCCCCAAGACCATCCTCAACCCCACTTCCCTCCCATTCCCCACTCGCTCCACCAAACCCCTCGCCGTCGCCGCCCACTCCGTCGTCCGCGAGATCGCCGCCGACTCTTCCAAGTCCGTCCCCGCGAAGCCGAAGGAAGGGCTCGAGAAAGATCCCCAGGCGCTGTGGAGGAGGTACGTTGACTGGCTGTATCAGCACAAGGAGCTCGGGCTCTATTTGGATGTCAGCAGGATTGGTTTCACCGATGAATTCTTCCGAGAGATGGAGCCTCGCTTTCAGCAGTCGTTTGATGCCATGGAGGATTTGGAGAAGGGCGCGATTGCGAATCCCGACGAAGGCAGGATGGTCGGTCATTATTGGCTGAGGAATTCGGAGCTCACTCCCACTCCCTTCTTGAAAACGCAGATTGAGAGCACGCTTGATCGCATTTGCTCCTTCGCTGATGAGATCGTCAGCGGTAAGGTCAGTAGTGCTGTGCGGACTGACGGACGATTGGTTTCTCTGCCTGTTTCTCCTTTTTTGCCTCTGTTGCTGAATGTGTTTCAATGCATGGCGATTCCTTCATTTCGTTGTAAAAACTGCAGATTAAACCTCCAGCTTCGGAGGCTGGTCGTTTTACTCAAATAATGGCTGTGGGGATTGGGGGCTCGGCTCTTGGACCACAATTTGTTGCGGAGGCTTTGGCTCCCGATAACCCTCCTCTCAAAGTAATGCTATCCCCTCTATTGAATGGAGTTTGATGCTCTTTCTCGTAGAACATTGCTCTGGTTTTAGTACTTACAATGAAACATTGGTTGAATATGGGCTCTTTCTTTGTCAATCATGGCAGATAAGGTTTATTGACAATACGGATCCAGCTGGAATTGATCATCAGATTGCTCAGCTTGGCTCTGAATTGGCTTCTACCCTTGTGATAGTGACTTCTAAGGTTGGTATAGGATCCACTCATTGTTGATTGGTCAAACTCTTCTGGAACTTTTCTCGTGCACTGCTTGCTGCTTAAAGTGAACGAGGTCTCGATCGTTCCTTTTGCAGAGTGGAGGCACCCCTGAAACTAGAAATGGTCTGCTGGAAGTACAGAAGGCTTTCCGCGAAGCTGGTCTTGATTTCGCTAAACAGGTTTTGACCTCAAGTTCTTCTTTCTGTTTATGATGTTTTTGCTAAGACTGTTCCTTTTCGGATTCTGTCTCTCTCGTGTGAATTGGTACCCTTCAGAATGAACCATATGCAGTCTGATGACCTGCTTATTTAGTGTCTTGAATCACTTTCTTTTATGCATGTTATGATTCTTAGGGTATTAGGCTTGCATTCTTGCATCGAGAGATACTTCTGATTCTCATATATATATGCATTTTTCTCCTCTGTTCATTTTGGTTATATTGCTGGGTGGAATTGTGGTGCAGGGTGTTGCCATAACACAGGAAAATTCATTACTAGATAATACAGCTAGAATCGAAGGGTGGTTGGCAAGGTTCCCCATGTTTGACTGGGTTGGGGGCAGGACATCTGAAATGTCTGCAGTTGGCTTACTCCCAGCAGCACTTCAGGTACATCATACATGGGCATTATCCTTAACATGACCGTTGGTTACAATAATTTTTGTTCTTTCATCCAGGGGATTAACATCAGAGAAATGCTTACTGGTGGAGCATTAATGGATGAGGCAACTAGGAGCAGAGATGTAAGTATCAAACACCGGCTTATAAAGTATGAAACTCATTATCACTATGGTCACATGGCTGGCTGTACGGGGACAAAATCCCTTGCAGGTTGTTCTTTATTTGATTTTCAGTGTGGTTCATGTGTAGAACCACGCCTCTCATCGATTATTTCTTCTTGTCAGCTTAGGAATAACCCAGCAGCTCTACTAGCTTTATGTTGGTATTGGGCCTCGGATGGGGTAGGATCCAAGGTATTATTCTCAAGCACAATCTAACTCCCTCCGGATTTTCTTTATTATTTGATTGACCAATCACAAACTGGCTTTAATTTCTTCACATTAATGACTTTCTGCAGGACATGGTTGTCCTTCCATACAAAGACAGTCTACTGCTATTTAGTCGATATCTGCAGCAGTTGGTCATGGAATCTATTGGGAAGGAGTTTGACCTTGATGGTAATAGGGTATGAAACCATGGACATAGTGATCCTTATCGCACTTTCTCGATATTCTACTGCTTTTAAGTTTGACTTGTGGATGCAATGTTTAGGTTGGGGCAGGTTGATGACATAAAACTGTGCTTTCAGAGGTTAATTTTATTAGTTGTTTTCCCAGGATTTGAGCGTGGCTTTTAATATATATTCTTTGATTTGTTTATATGTGGGAATTTTGAATTAGACAAATCCTACTACATGGTTGTACGATTGGACAACATGGGACCTTTAAAGGTCATTAATTCAGTCACTGGTTTGGCAGGTTATGGCTGCCGAATCATTCAACTGAACTGCATAAGTTAAGCATTGCAACGGAAGATGAATACATGCAATTACAATCATGATTTTGTTGAAATGGGCTTGCTGTGTAAAGTGAAATCATGTTATCTACTTAACCATGTTCTGTATGTTAGGGCAAGCTTTTTGCTATAATGGACATGTTGCATTTGATTGTTTACATGCGTCTAACTGTCCGATTCTTCACAGGTGAACCAAGGTCTTACAGTGTATGGAAATAAAGGGAGTACAGATCAGCATGCGTAAGTTTGCTTTTCTTCTCATTATTATTACTGGTATTAGTTGTCGGCGCTTGACTAAAAAATATGATAGGATCATATATACATGGCTCTGATGCATTTGCATTTTCATTCATTCAGATACATTCAACAACTGAGGGATGGTGTGCACAATTTCTTCGTAACCTTCATTGAAGTTCTGCGTGATAGGCCCCCTGGTCATGACTGGGAACTGGAACCTGGTGTTACATGTGGCGACTATTTATTTGGAATGCTACAGGTCAAATATTTACTTAAGGAACGGTTATGGATCTGGGAAGCGCAGTTGATAATTATTTGTGTGAAATTGATTTGAAATTATTGCAGGGAACTAGGTCAGCTCTATACGCTAATGACCGGGAATCTGTATCAGTAACAGTTGAAGAGGTCACACCCAGATCCGTAGGGGCTCTTATTGCACTCTATGAACGAGCAGTTGGATTGTATGCCTCACTTGTCAACATCAATGCCTACCATCAACCTGGTAAATAATGATATACAGCTCTGTTCTTCTTTTCGTCCAAGTGCTATGCTTTGGTGTGGATCTCATTAAAGAAGGTTCTGCACTCGAGGCCCGTTCTATGCATGCATCGGGTAGTCCAAAGTATCTCATTTATTCACATTGTCAATTTCCTTGTAATCTCAGGCGTGGAAGCTGGGAAAAAAGCAGCAGGAGAAGTATTAGCTCTTCAGAAACGGGTTTTGGCAGTTCTGAACGAAGCAAGGTAAGACAAATCATGGATGCATACTGTCTGAAAGATAATAGATGTCGTCTCATGTTATTCACTTCTTTGTTGCTAATACCGATTTTTTAAGCTCCATCTGCAGGGTAGAGTCTTATGATTGCTGTACAAATTAGGCAACTTTGACTTATCACTCAATGCTTGACAGCAGTCTTGTTTGTTTTGTTTTGTGCAGCTGTAAAGATCCTGTGGAGCCATTGACGCTTGAGGAAGTAGCTGACCGCTGCCATGCCCCAGAGGATGTATGTTCGGTTCACACTACTACCTGTTCTTCCCTTCAATTTCCCCACGCAACCGAGTATGGATTGCTCTTTGGGCTGAACTTGTTCCCTTTTTTTTTGTATGCTGCAGATCGAAATGATATACAAGATCATAGCCCACATGGCAGCAAACGACAGAGCGGTGGTTGCTGAAGGCCACTGCGGATCGCCACGCAGCATCAAAGTTTACCTGGGGGAGTGTAATGTGGATGCGCTGTACTAAGACGAAACTACAGCTGAGTAACATTTCTTTAAATAGCCATCTTCGTCGTCCTGAATGTGTTGTGACCAGAATAAGCTGCTGTGTTTTGAACACTTGTGCATGCATTCCGAGAAAAATGGAGCATTTTCCCATCTCAGCTTCTTTCATTTGCCTTGGATAGTGAATGAATATGGATACTGTGACTGGCATTGAGTTTCCACTTTCCCCTTGTTCGTTCTTCTGCTTTTTTTCCGCTCCGATGTTCTTTGCATGGGGCGCCGTATTCCTGTGACAGTTGAGTGTGTGTTCAGAATGCTGAAATGACCTCGGGAAGTCAGGTGATGGAGATTGGATGTCGGTCATTGTGCCTAAAGGAGAGCGAGCTAGCCACTGAAGCATTCGGCACTGAAAATCCACCTTGAACATAGTGTTTATCATTTCGACTTGCAGCCCTGTCGAAACCTATCCAAATGAGTTAGATGTTTGGGTGTGTGTTCTCTCCAAGAAGCCGAGAAACAAGTTTACAGAAGAATGATCAAATCCAATTCGATTGTTATGATAGAGCTGTGTCATTCTGCAAATAAAGAGTCTGCACAGCTTTGACCTGTAGGAAGAAAGTGAAAAGGAGGGAAAAGCACGATGAAGTTTTCAAGTTAAAGTTTTTGGGTATGTGATGAGTAGTGCTAACAAACCGTGAACCCTGTAATCATAGATAGCATTGACCTGTAGGCTATTGGGCGGAGAGCTTGTTTCTATTTACAAGTGTAGCGTATTTGGTCAATTAAAAAAATTCTACATTGCACTTAATAATAGTGCTCATGAAATTTAGGCTTATCATAGTCCATATATTTCATGTCCGTGCTCTAACTGTGTCATGTCATAAAAATTCGTAGCCAGTCCTATCCGACACCCAAATACACCGAACAGATATCCGAAAACTTGCAAATAAGACATTTGTGGCTTAAGTGACAGTTATGGCCCCATTTTTCAAATAAGACATTTGTGGCCTACTTTTGAAATTATTGGACAAATTTGGCCCAAAATTTTCCTTGACCGTTAACATTAACGGTCAAAACACTGTTCCGTTAATGACTTAGCAAAAAATTGTTGATGTGGCATGCCACGTCATTAAATAATATTATTTAATTTTATAATTCAATTAAAATAAAAATTAAAAAATCTCCTCTTATTATCCCACCCCAAGGCCCAAGCCCCAAATCCAAACCCTAAACTAAATCAACATTAGGCGCCTCCCTCCTCCTTCCTCTTCTTCGCCGATCCCCCAAAACCTCTAACTAAATTATCCACCGCCATTTCTCCCTCCAGTCCACCTTCAAAAAATAATGGGCAAGCCTCGCGGTGGTTCCGGTTCGTCCTTGAGCCCTCCGATCATTCCCTCCCGCAACAATAGAATGCCCTGACCGCCGCTCGTCCCAAGGAGAAGCGGCGGTGGAGTTTCGTCAAGTCTTATCGAGAAAAGGACCACCACGGCAGCGCCTCCGTCGCGGCCTCGATCAAGGTATTGCAGGGAGCTCGCGAAGGTTCCTCTTCCGCCTCTGTGATGCCCCGGTGGAATGCGGTCGCGGAGGACTACGACGCCGACGAAGACGAGGGCTGCGGTAATGAAGAGGACGATTCGAGCGAGCGAGCTATCGCCGGGGCGGCGGATGCCGCGGTGGTCGCCGCAAATTCCGTCGTGATGGTCATCCTACTTACCAGCAGCGGAGGTCTTGCGGGGGATGCTCATCGGCGGGAGCGGCGGGGAAGCTCCTCGCATACGTGGATTGAGTGAAGCAAGAGAGATAGTGTGAGTGAGGGGAAATAGAAAGGAAATAAAAAAGAGAGGGATCGGTGAAGAAGAGGAAGGGGAGGGAGGCGCCTGATGTTGATTTAGTTTAGGGTTTTGATTTGGGAATTGGAAATTTTGGGTTAAGAGGAATTTTTTTAATTTGTAAGGTTTTATTTTAGTTGATTTATAAAATTAAAATAATATTATTTAATGATGTGGACATGCCACATCATTGGGTTTTTGCTGAGTCATTAACGGAATAGAGTTTGACCGTCAATATTAACGGTCAAAGAAAATTTTGGGCCAAATTTGTCCAATATTTTCAAAAGTAGATCACAAATGTCTTATTTAAAAAATGGGGCAAAAACTGTCACTTACGCCAAACTTCGGGCCAAACTAGGGTATTAACCCTAACAAGAATGCAAAACCTATATTTAGTGGATATGAATTTGAGTATTTAAAGATGTGACATACTAGAGAAACTTGCCCGCACCCATCAATTGTGAAGCGTGTCCAACGTTGTCGTATTACCATGTGACGCCCTCAATTTGGCCAAAAACAAACAAAGAGCCGCTACAAAAAGAGGTTAATTGACACATTGTTTTTTTTTTAAATTACCACTAATATTGCGAATTAAATAGTATTGACAAGAATATTGTGTTTTTTGGCTAGATGGAGGCGTGGCTGCCTAAGACTCAGGCCGGGCCGCTTTAACAAAATTTTAACAAAAGTCCTAGGTGCTGGCGCCTTAGACTAAGGCGCCCCCACCTTAGTCAATTTTCATTTTAATTGGCCTAGGTGCTGGCGCCGGAGACTAAGGCGCTCCCACCTTAGTCCATTTTATTTTAAATACCCGACAGCCACACAACCACAGCCTTATCTTCTTCTTCTTCTTCCTCCTCCTCCACACGCCACACAACCACCCTCCTTCTTCTTCTTCCTCTCCCGTCGCAGCCACCTAGCGCCACAGCCACCAGGACACAGCGAGGCCGCCGCTGAGCAAAGCGACCCGCCGCAGTGCCAGGCGCCGCCGCCCCAGAGCCCGGCGCCGCCGCCCCAGAGCCCGGCGCCGCCGCCCCAGAGCCCGGCGCCGCCGCAGCCAGCAGAAGCACCGCCGCCCCAGAGTTCGCCGCCGCCGTAGCCAGCAGAAGCGCCGCCGCCCCAGAGTCCGCCGCTGCCGCAGCCAGCAGAAGAGCCACCGCCCGGAGATGTCCTCCGACGAAGAAGTCGCCGCCGGCAGAGGCAGGGGGAGAGGCCGGCGAGGTCGTGGCTGCCGTTTGCGCAGTGAGACTCTCGTCGGCGGCTTGATTTTTTTTTTTAATGGTTGTGTTTTTTTTTAATGTTTTGTTGCTTTGTTTTTGCAGTTCCTAGCTTATGGATCCTTATTCGATGAGATTACCGCCGACGACAATTGATCCAGGTCCGGTCGATGCGACACTTCTTTGGGGACATGGCCAACATCGTATCGACTTTGTTTGGACAAACGAGGTAAGTATTTGATAATTATTCATGTAAAGTTAATTAGCTAATTAGATTATTTTAGTTGGTGAACTGAACTGTACTGTTAGAGAATAGGATTACGTATCAGATTTTTTGAAATTAGTATAATTTGATATTAGATTAGACAGATTAGAATTAATTAGGTGAAATTAGAATTATTACGAATGAAGATGAATTAATATAAGTTTTGTGCACTATAGGCTGGTGATCGATCTTACCATGTTCGAGGTACGACCATTTTAGTACCTTACCATGAGCTTTATCGGCCATATCTCGAAGCGGCAGGCTTGTTAAGTGTTGTGCCCCTAGTCCCTATGAACCCTGATGCGAGTTTGATTACTGCGCTCGTAGAGCGGTGGCGACCCGAGACGTCGACCTTCCATCTACCGTGTGGTGAGATCACGATCACGTTAGAGGACGTTGTTACACTGTCCGGTCTGGCGATCGACGGTGATGCCGTCGTAGTTGATATACCGGATGAGGAGTGGTCGGCGATCTGTTTGAGACTGTTAGGACGGGTTCCGGTTGATCTTGTAGGCGGTGTCGCTGTTGTTAGGATTGTTTGGCTGAGGGTTGAATTCAGGTGGTGATACTAGAGCAGCCTCGACTCCCAACCTGTGGGACAGCCTAGAGGGTGATCACATTTTTCAGGAGACGATGTGGAATTATGAGCAGAATCTGCAGTCTCAGCAGCATGGTGGCGGTGAGCCTGAGGAGCATCTTCAGTCTCAGCAGGATGATATGTTCGGCACACAGGATCAGGATGGTAGTGTCGAGGAAGATCAGCCCCAGGAGTATGATGGTCAACCTATGCGTAACAGGGTGGCTGCGAGGTGTGGTACTGGCGGCCATCTAGTGGTGGAGCATGTTGGTCGTCGTGGTGGTCGTCAGTGAGACTATTATGTAGTTTGCTTATTTTTGGATTGTTATTATGTACTTCCTTTAGACTATTATATGTGGACTATTATGTTTGGACTATTTTTTATGTTATTATTTTATTAACGATAAAAACCATAACTACAACAACTTCAAACAACAACTTCTACAGGATTATTCGACGGAAATACAACAACTACATACCAAACTACAACAACTTCAAACAACAACTTCTACAGGATTATTTGAAGGAAATACAACAACTACTACATTTGAACAAAATTCTCAGCCACGTCTATTACCTCTACTTCCTCTTCTACCACCTCTCGCACTTGGTTGGCCACCACTCCCTCTTCGGTTGCTCCCACTCCCACTAGCTTGGCCACCACAGGTTGATGCATTATGTCCCGCTTGGTTACAGTTGCTACACACTTGGTGTGATGCACCCTCCCTTGGCCAATCCATCTCGTTGTGAAGCCTTGTAACTCGTGGCCTCCCTGGCTTCCTAATCATGTGCACATTAGGATGGAGAGTAGGACCATTATGCTTCTTCCAACCCTTAGGTTCACCAAGAGGTGCGAAACTTGTCCCATAACAAGCCATCACTGTTTCCAGCTTGTAGACATTGTTTCCAAACCTATACGCATTAGCCCCCATTCGGTTGCAAGCTGCAATGGCATGAGAGCAAGGAATTTTATTTTCTTGAAATTTACCACAGGTGCAAAATCCCTCCCGGTTTTGGTCGTCAAAGTGCACTGTGAGTGTGTTTGACCCCGTCATGTTGAAATTGTTGGGGGGAGTCTGAACTACATAGATGCCTTGACTCCGATCAAGAGCTGTCACAGAATGTCCAACTGCCTTTTGTGACCAGTACTTCATCAGCTCTTCGCACTTGGTGGAGTACTGTGAAGGACCACTTCTAATTTCTGCTCCTGTCTCCAACCTGTACTTATCGAATTTCTCCACCAATCGCCAATAGGTATGTTGCACAAGAGAAGCTATAGGAAGTGCACGAATACCTTTGAAAACACCATTGATGCTTTCTGCCATGTTGGATGTCAGCATAGACCAACGACGCCCACCGTTGTAGTTATCATGTGCTAAACTCCAACGAATCTGATGTTGATCCACCCAGTTATCACATGAAATATTTCTATCACTGGCCACCTTCTTAAAGTGCTCAACTTGACGATCGAACTTCTCCAACCGTTTTTCTCCAGCTAACAAAATAAACAACCACACGGGTTAGATAAATTCATGACAAAATTACATGAAAATAAATAACAGAATTAAATGAAGAAG